AAAAGAGAATAAAATTTTGTATAATAAAAAAAAGGAAAAATAACACTACGAAAAAATCTCAACTTTTTCCCGCCTCTCGTTTCCTTGCTGGGAAAAAAACAAAGGTGCTGTGGAAAATTATTGTGGTTAGGTGGTCCACATGCGCAACATCATCAAGCATCAAGCGCTTAATAATAGACACTCTGGCCCATACTATTACCATTATTTTCTCCCAGTTTTGGTATATTTGCTTGGCCATATTGTCCAAGCCCCAAAGCAGAATCTTGGATGCTCATTGTCTGACCCCATTAAATTACTCCATTGATTAGTTATTCAATAGTAGTCGCATACGTCTCTTTTCAATTATATTACTCCATGGTTGCTTTTTATAAGAGATAATTATCAAAATCACACATACTGGTACTTCAAAATATTTAAATTTGATTAAAAACAATAAATATATAGGATACATATTTTTCTAATTATATTCTTATTTATAAAGAGAGTATATGGAAGATAATAATGAATGAAAGTTGATTGAAGAGTGATTCTCCCTTTTATCTTTTTTTTTTATAAGAGCTTGATAATTAAATTATGTGATTTAAGAAACCAGTTAAAATTAGTTAAAATTAATAAATATGTAAGAAATGAATTTTTTTCCTTAAACATGTTCTTATTTATAAGGGTAACCAAGAGAGAGAAATAGAGTAATAATGAAAAAAAGTATCAAAGAGGGTATAATATGCCTAGTTGTCGACATTTGAATTAATTCAATATATAAAATTAATTAGGAGCAAAAATGAAAAAATCACAATAAATATTCAGACAACCCCAATTAGACTCTTATGAAAATGATCAAGGCAATTCAAATTTAAGGCTTAAAAAAAAAGAAATGAAGGGAGTAATAAGTGGCATATAATTAATGTAGGTAAAAATGAAAAAGCCAGTTTAAAATTTCAAATAAAGATGATTTGTTTTTAATATTTAAAAATACCACCACTATGAGAGAAATTATTTATAATGAAAAGAAAGAGAGGAATTAAGGACGATATTAACCCATAAAAAATACTAAAAATTTTAGACGACCTATTAATCATTTTTATAACTAGAAACATATGATTTCTAATAGAACTCTTATATTAGTAACATTAAAAGGAGAAATTTACGATAAATGTAAATTAAAAAATTAATTTAAAAAATAATTGAAAATTTTTTTTGGGCCAAACAATTGAAAATGTTTTATATCTTATAATTTTAATTAAATGGAGGGAGTACATTCCCAACTTCTTACCAGCAAATCCGATTCAAAATATAAGCTAAGGTTAGTTCATTTAAATTTATCAAAAAATGAAATAAAAACAGTCTAAAATAATCAATATGTAAGGCATATGTATATTTTCCAAATATGTCTTTATTTGTTGAAACTTCTCTCTTCTATTTACTTTGTTTAAAACACTTGTCTCTCTTGCCATACCTAGTAAACCAAACATTTTTTATAATTAATACCATCGATAACTAAAAAAATTAAAAACATGTTGAGAGTGAAATTAAAAAATACTCATTAAATTGTTAGACAAATTTGAAATATTATCTTGCAAAAAAACTCAAACCCCTCAGCTAATGTTAGCGTATATTTTGAAGCGGAGGGGACAATTAATTTTGCCTCCTGGCCTCACTGCGTTTTCTGTCGTTTTCGGACCTTTTCATCAGTTGACATCCGCAGTAATTAATTAATGTGATCTGCATGGATGGCGACCTCCATTTGATTTTAATATTCCTAAAAATAATAAAAGCTCAAGAATCAGCACAGCAAGGTTCCTCCGCTACTTAAAAGTTCATCAACGGTTTTTTAATAATAATTCATAAAATACGAGATAAATATAAAAAATGAGTTTTATCTCAATTTATATAAAACATATTAATAAATACTTATAAAAGTAAATCAAAATAGATACTAACTGTTCCCGTATATAAGCTATTTGTATGGTGCGCCTCCGTATGTCAATAAAAGTATTAAATTTATAAAAAATTTTATGCTTGCAAAAAAGATGTTGAAAAAATGTCTTGAGTATTTTCTCTCACCTATTGTCTTTATTGTATTTAATATAGATAAAATTAAAAAAATATTTTTAATTACCTTACTAATAACTTATATTTATACTATTTAAGAATAATTTTTTTCCCTTACAAGTGACTACTTACCATTAAAAAAAAAAAAACTACAGTTTTAAAGCCCCTTCCCCAAGAAGGATTCAGCCCAAGGCAAATGCTCATGATATTGGTGATAGCAGCTGGAAGCGTTGTCAGTTTGCTAACAAAACCACAAAACCACTGGCCTTCTTTGTTCCGGATAACACCTCCACATCCATTTGAGCTGTCAGTTCCCCCACCCATCCACCTCTATTTTAATAACCACTAAAACCATTGACTTCATTAAATTATAGGGTTAAGGTGCACCCAACACCCCGAACTATTTTTTCAGGTGTATCCAGTGTCCTAAAGTAATTTTCGGTGCATCTAGTGTCCTAAACTAATTAAAACAATGCATCTAATGTCCCAAACTAATTAAAACGGTGCATCCATATCCTGGGCTAACAAAAAAGTTAAGTTTGACCATTAGTTGACCGAAAAATCTGACGTGGCGGACACGTAGGCATCTAATGTGTATTATTTTAACGAGTTAAGGTGCGCATAGTACCCTGAACTATTTTCTCAGGTGCGTCCAGTGTCATAAAGTAATTTTTGGTGCATCCAGTGTCCCAAACTAATTAAAACGGTACGTCTACATTCTAGGCTAACAGAAAAGTCTCGTTTGACCGTTACCTTGTTGATTCAGCTGAAGGTTGACCGAAAAATCCTACATGACGGACACGCATGTGTCTGATGTGTATTATTTTGACTGAAAATTCAATTTATTTCCTCCTCTTCTAACATTTATCTTCTGTCAGTTTTTAAACTTAAAAAAAAAAAAAGAAAGACCACCGATCCACCCTCTTAAATCCTGGTACATGTACCACCCATTCAATCCCATCCTTGTCTTTAACATTTTATTCCATTTCTTCCACCACTCCGATTTGAAACCACAACCGCTGTCACAGCACACTTCCATCTTCATCTCTGTCGACTCCTCATCCGACTCACATTTGCTTTCCTCCTCGTAGAACACAGCAAACTCCCCCTTGGTCACTTCATCGACATCGTCATCGCCTTCCGAGAAAACACCTACCGCCACTAGGCTTGTCTTAGGAGCTTTAGTCAAAACAATACACATCAGACACTTGCGTGTCCGTCATGTAGGATTTTTTGGTCAGCCTGGGATGTGGACTTACCATTTTAATTAGTTTGGGACACTGGATGCACCAAAAATTACTTTAAGACACTGGCGCATCTGAAAAAATAGTTCAGGGTGCTGGGCGTACCTTAACTCGTCAAAATAATACACATCAGATGCCTACGTGTCCGCCACGTCAGATTTTTCGGTCAACTAATGGTCAAACTTAACTTTTCTGTTAGCCCGGGATATGGAAGTACCGTTTTAATTAGTTTGGAACATTGGATGCACTAAAAATTACTTTAGGACACTGAGTGCACTTAGAAAAATAGTTCGGGTGCTAGGTGCACCTTAACCCTAAATTATATCAAAACAAATATAATTATTACTGTATTTATTATTTCTAAATTTTAGAATTGGAGAACAGTTTTTATACATATATTTTTTGGTCTCATATTTATAAAATAAAATAAATTTATCCTTTTATTTGCCAATTCACCTCTTCAAAACGCACAAAAAACAAAATATGGAGTACGGTGCTAAAACGTAAGATGAATTGGCACAGGGCTAACCGTTACAACTGTTTGGCGAAAATAAAAAACCGTTACACATGTTACCTCATCAATTTTTGGATAGAAATAATGAGCCATAAATACGTTTGTTACTTTTTTTTCTTTTATTATTTTTGTTTACTAAAGAAGCATCTTTACCTCACTTTTCATTATCTTCTCTTTCACTTTTCATTATTTTTTCATTCATACTTTTTGGTCAACACACGACACGCTAGATTTTTTATTTATGCATGAGATGATTTAAAAAAAAAAAAACAATCCTGCCAACTAGACACCAGGCCTATTCATGTTTTTTTTAAGAGGTGGTAGACTTTTCCCAGTCTGAACTGTAAATATTATTTTTTTTTTTAAAGAGACATATTAATATTCAATTCCGTGATTTTTAAATCAAAACTCGATGATATTATACTCTTATTTTTTGGCAGAAAAACTGTTATCCTTTTTATATTAATGCTTTAAAATTCATTTAAGTTAAATTCCCTAAAAAAACATTTAAGCAACTATTATTCTGTTGCTTTTTATAAATAGAATTAATATCATTCAGTCGTACAAAATAGATCTTTAATAATTGAGATAATATTTGAAAAGAACTAAGTTATATTTCTGTATTGTTAGCCTTAAATCAATTTTAAAGTTCAAATTAGTGATTGGAATTTGGCATCAATGTTTTGGAGTTAGGCACTCTTATACGTCCAAAAACCTGATCAGGAAAAAAAAAAGATAAAAAATACTTGAAAAACGTGAAATTGGATATCAATGAAAAAGGCTAGCATTTATACGAAGCTTCGACTCGAAAGAAGATTGGTATGTTCGAGGCTGATACTGCTAGAAAGCTTTTTGTGTGGGGTCGTGGTTTGATTGATGGACGGGAGTTCGGATTCGGATCCTCGGTCGCCGCTGCTGATGAAGGATGATCGGAGTACAAAGGCTAACGGCGGAGGAGGGCGGCGGGGGCGGCTCCCGCGCCGGAACTCTGTCAACTCTTTGAGGAGTGAATTTGTGTCGAAGTTGCCTGATAAAGTCCGGTCTGGCCTCGACTCTGAGTCCTTCGATGTTGATTTCTCCAGAACTGGAGTTTTAGGCAAAGGTTTAATTCTTTTTATCCTTTATGCCTAGTTGTGACTGCTTGATGGCTCATCAAGTGAGGCATTTTCAGGCCCAAAAAAAAAGTTAGGCGTTTCAGGGAATACGTGACAAAACTTCTCTTTGCGCAGGAAAAATGTTACGTACCGCCCAAGTTTGTCGTTCTTTTCATTTCTGTTTCCTAGTTTTAATGTTTGGTTGCCAGAAATTTGTTTGTGTTTTATCTCTGTTGATTTTATTTTGTTGTCAGTCGTCACTTGTTATCACTTTCAGTAATTATTTTTTTCTTAAATTAATCTTCATCTTCATTTGGAGCCGGAGTACAGAGTTAGATTGCCTTTTAGTCCTGCGTCTCTTCGTTGCATTTAGCGAAGATAATTGACATGAACGTGGAAGCGATGATATCAGGAAGACAAAAAATAAGCAATCATTACTAGGGTAGTTACTAATGAATTTTTTTATCGTACAGATCTTTCCCATATTTTCCAGGATATTGTGTGTTTCCCTCTTTATTTTAATCTATATATCCCTGGATTCTGTTCACTGATCTGTATGTGTTCACCTGCCAAAATTCTTATCCAGAGGCGATTCTCATCCTTTTACTGATGGAATGGAGGTCATATAATTCTAATAGGATATCTGAAATTTCTTTTTTCTTCCTATTAACGTCCCTGAATACTAAGCTGTCGACAGTGGTGTTAGGTCTTCTTCCATATTTAAATCTCTGGGACGGGTATCGTCAAATTATTACCTCTGTTTTGTGCTTAGAGTAGGTACAATGGAGAAGTTTGATGTCATTTCAAATATTTGGTTTGATTTGGAAATAATTGAGCTACACTATAACAGCTGTGTGATGACATTTTTTGTACTGTTATCGACAACTATTTATTTCCTTCAACAATCCACTATAATGAAACTAGATTACTATTCCTTTCTTTATAGCGGAAGGGTCAATATGATTTTATTTTATTTACGCTCTGAAACAACTTATTCTGTCGCAGAATTATGCGTTGTACTTTGAAGATCAAATTATTTTCCTTGTTTTTCTATGAAGTGACCTCTTCCAATTTTTTTTTTTTAAAATAGAAGAGAAGGAATACTATGAAAGACAATTTGCCACTCTGAAGTCATTTGAGGAAGTTGACATCATAGTGACGTCTGATGGCACCCACGAGGTAGACAGTGAGGAACAGGCTCAACATGAAAAAGCAATGAAGATCTCCAACTTTGCAAATATAGTTTTGCTGGCATTAAAGGTGATATTTCGATATATTTTTCAATACTTCCATTTATGAGCAAAATTTCAAGCATCTATTCTCACCAGAAGGCTCGTTTTTAACATCGTGTCCGTTTGAGACATTTTATAAGTAGGAGGTGTTTGGAAGCACTCAGAAGTGTTTCTCCAAAACACTTCTCCGTAAAACGAGGCAAACTCTTTCACATATTTGCCTCGTATACCGTAAAAACACTTTTAAAATTATGGTTTGGTTTTCATCCAAACATCCCCATAGTTTATAAGTAGTTTTTTAATAGTGATTTACGGAATATGAAACAAGTATGTTAGAGGAGTTTGTCTCAAATTACGTGAAATGTGCTTATAGGGAATTTTTTACGCCCTCCCAAACAGGCCCAAAATAAGTATGCGAGAAAAATTATCTCGATTTACGTGAAATGTGTTTATAGGAAATTTTTTAAGCCCTTCCAAACAGGCCCAAAATAGTCATTGAGGTCAGGCTTCATTATAATGATTCATTAATCATGTCTTAATAGGATTTTTCAATGAACTAATTTAACATTGGGAAGCAGAACCTAACTTTCAAGTTTGAACCTCCTTAAACTTGTTTCGGCATAAGCTCCGATCCTTTCTTTTTTCTTTTTTCTTTTTTTAATGCTTTTGTAGTTCTTGACACTCCACCAGTTTATGACAACACATATCTATGTATAGATTTATGCGACAGTTAGGAGTGGTTCAATTGCTATTGCAGCATCAACTTTAGATTCTTTGCTTGATCTTATGGCTGGTGGAATACTCTGGTTCACTCACCTCTCAATGAAAAACATAAATATTTACAAGTACCCAATTGGGAAGCTGAGAATGCAGCCAGTGGGAATAATTATCTTTGCAGCTGTCATGGCAACACTAGGTGTGTAAGACTAACCACTTTCTAGCTCCAGATTGTTTACTTGTTTCTCACTCAAATTCAATATTTCTTCCTTTGGAAGGTGCAAGCAACGGACACAATTTCGTTTTGACATTGTTTTTAACTTATAATATTTTGTTGCCTTAATTTTTACACTTCTAGTTTGCAGATGGCTGATACAGTTGGCAATGGTAGAGTTTCTTCTTATTCAAAACCTGTTAATATGCTGTCAAGTTCTACTTTGAATATGTAACCGTATCTTATATTCAATGCCAAACCCATAATTAGGATCGTAGCATGCTTCAGATTTATCTGCTATTTTTCTTATCTACATATTATTTATGACTAGCTTTAACTAAAATGCTGGATTTACTAGTGAAAAAAAAAGGGGCTTATATCCTTTTCAACCAAATAACAAGTGAAAAAGTGAGCGAGATCTTGAATTTGCTATATTCAAGCACGACATTCAACTTCTAGTTAAGAATGATAATTTCGCTTAGATTCAGTTTCCCATGATTTAACCATAGGTTTGTATTTTTTATAAGGACAAGATCATATATTCTTGGTCTCACCTCTTTAATGAAAGTTATGTTTAAAAGGCATAGAATCATTTTGGGAGCGGAAATAGAAACATTACATCGTTTCATCATTTTGCTCCAGGCTTTCAGGTGTTTGTGCAAGCTGCAGAACAATTAATCGAAAATAAGCCTTCTGAAAAGATGTCTTCCGATCAGTTAGTCTGGCTATACTCTATTATGATATCTGCAACAGTGGTGAAACTAGCACTGTGGCTTTACTGTAGAAGCTCGGGAAACAAGATTGTTCGTGCCTATGCAAAGGTATGGGCCCTTCTTTTGTTAATGAACAGTTTTATCTATGGAATCACGACTTTGTTGCGTCAGCTCACAAATGCCAATATGCAGGATCACTATTTTGATGTTGTGACGAATGTGGTTGGATTAGTCGCAGCTGTTCTTGGTGATGAATATTACTGGTGGCTTGACCCAGCTGGTGCTATTTTGCTTGCAATTTATACAATTACAAATTGGTCTGGCACTGTCACGGAAAATGCAAGTAATAATCTCTTTCATCTTTTGCATAATTCCCAACAAGTAAAACTATGAAATAGGCATGGACTAGAATAGCAATTAAACTATAAAATGTCAGTTGGCTACTCGAGATCTATTTAGGGATTAAGTTGTGATCGTTGGTTAGAGATTTTTAATTTTTTGGGAAGCACATGCTACGCCATTAATTGTTTTGACTTCTTATCTCTTCTCTTTTATCTGTTCAAATGCCAATCAAAAGGAAGATTTTTTTCCCCTTTAATTCATTATTCTTTCATGGTTCAAAAGGGAAAATAGAAAGCAAAAGGGGGATCAACAAAATACTTTTTTTTTTTTTCATATTTGTGGGCAAGATTTCTCAGAATAGTAATTATTTTCAATATTGGAATGGGTAGAATAGTGATATATGCAATGGCTCACAATGAGTTGACCGTGATAACGCTGATTTCTTATACAGTTTCACTAGTGGGACAATCTGCACCTCCTGAAGTTCTGCAGAAGCTGACATATCTTGTTTTAATGCACCCTGAAGTTAAGCGTGTTGACACTGTTCGCGCATACACATTTGGCGTTCTATATTTTGTAGAGGTATGTTGTGCTGTACCAAATAATATAGGTATATTTAGTGATGGCATGGGCCTGTTTGGAGCGTATTTTCGAAATTTTCTACTAAAAAAAAAACCATGTTTCTGGCGTTGTTTTTGAAGGCCATTTTCATTTTTGCCCAACAGAAGGGCATGTTGAAAATAATTAGCTTTAGTTTTCAAAGTACAAAAATGCAAATGCCTATAACGTGTTTCCAAATGCACTGTTTTAGGAACGCTGTTTTAAAAATAGTTTAATGAATTTTAATTTAGCATCTGCCTCGTCAAATGGATTGAATTTGAAACAGGTTGATATTGAACTGCCAGAGGATCTCCCTTTAAAAGAAGCACATGCCATTGGAGAGACCCTACAAATAAAGATCGAGAAACTTCCAGAAGTTGAGCGGGCATTTGTTCATCTGGACTTCGAATGTGATCATAAACCGGAACACTCAATTCGAAGCACACTGCCAAACAGTGAGTCTTGAGTTTATAGAACCCCGTCTATTGGTCAACAAGAGAATGTTCACTTATGGAACAGCGGGACCTTTGGTAACGTTCAATTTCTTGGAAGGATGGGAGAGCAGTATTCAGCCGTATTGTACTAATATGGTTTTCTTGGGCTTTTTCACATATATGGTATAAGCAGGAATTTATTTTGCTCAGATGCTATAGTATGAAAAATATTTACCAAGATACGACATTTCAAAATCATTCAGACAGAGATCAAGTTTAAGTTTATAAAGAACTTGTTTTTACCAATAATGAGTTTAATAGGTCCCATATTAAAAAGTATAGAACTCATTCTCACAAAAAACGAGTTCATTGGGTCCCATCTTAAAAAAGTGGGTGTGAACAACTTTGATTTTGTCTTTTAGTATCATTGTCTTTTTTTTTTCCCCCAGCTCATCCATCCTTCCATTATTCTTCCTCATTTTTAAGTTTTTTAGTTCTTTTGTAAGAGAGTTGGTGGTGTGTGTTGCTTTCTTGTATCTGTTTTGTTTCAACTTAAAATTTGATTTGTTTTAACTAATTGAGGTATATTCTTTTGATTAAAATTTTTTATAATTTTTATATGTATTTTCTTAAATGATGAGTAGAATTTTATATTTAGTTATTTTATATGTTGTCTTGTGGACCTTGTATACATTGAATTTTATATAGCATTTGAAGAATTTTTTTTACTACAAACAAAATTAAAATTCAATGTATACAAGGTCTACAAAGTAACATATAAAAATGATTAAATATAAAAATTTAAACAAGCTCAACATGTAAAATGACTAAATATAAAATTCTACTAGAATAGAATTTTATAGGTCTACAAGGCATACAATGCATATAATAGCCAAACTCAATTCTTACTATATAGCATTTGAAGAATTTTTTTTTTTTTTACTATAGACAAACTTAAAATTTAATGTATACAAGGTCTACAAGGCAACATATAAAATGACTAAATATTAAATTCTACTCATCATTTAAGAAAATACATATAAAAATTACAAAAAAATTTAATCAAAAGAATGTACTTTAATTAGTTAAAACAAATCAAATTTTAAGTTGAAACAAAACAAATACAAGAAAGCAAGACACACTACTAACTCTCTTACAAAAGAACGAAAAAACTTAAAAAGGAGGAAAAATAATGGAAGGATGGAGGAGTTGAAATAAAAAAAAAAGATAATGGCACTAAAAGACAAAATCAAAGTTATTCATGGTGTGAACAACTTCATTTTTTTAAGATGGGACCCACTAAACTCGTTTTTGGTAAGAACGAGTTTTACAATTTTTAATGTGAGACTCACTGAATTCGTTCTTGATAAGAATGAGTTTTTTATAAACTTAAACTCGATCTTTGTCTGAATGATTTTAAAATGTAGTATCTCGATAAATATTTTTCATACTATAGCATCTGAGTAAAATAAATTCCTGTTTATAGTATATATGTGAAAAAAAGCCGGTTTCCTTGCCAGCGAGGAAATTTTACAGTTTTTTGGGTCAAATCTCTAAAAGGGCAACGGTTATGTCACTCCCTTGGTCTGCAATCTCATATCTCCGGTAGCTGCCTTATCTAAAGTGTGTCTGCCCAAATTTCAGAACGTCAACATGTCATTAGAATCAATTTGGTAAATTACATTGTATGTTTGTAATGGAGGAAAATTCACGTCCAAACTTATGGTGTTGCATCAAATACATGTACTTTTCGGTATTCTTTAATAGATCAATTCAAGCTCGTTCCGTATTTTTCAAAACTTTTATATTCTATATGCTTTAAAACTACACCATTTAAACTGAAGAATTCTGCGTCAGGTAGGACTGTGTTGGTTTTTTCTTTTTTTGTTTGGGGGGGGGGGATAGGACCGGAAATAGCTATTTACTCACTGTTTGCGAGGCATACATTACATTCTCAAAAGCATGAATCCCGCATAGGAATGCTCACTTTGGTTACAGTATCTGGAAAGCCATTAAGTAAAACTAATTGTTATTGCTATTCTGTATTACTTCTACTCCAAAAATACAAGACAAAACAAATCTTCTGTTTGCTATGTCTGCCACTGGCTCTGTTCAACTAAATGGACAACATGCCAGAGATGTTCCCAAGTGGAGGCAGAGATATGTTGCAGTAGAATTATCTGTAAGAAAAGATCAATGCCATGTAAGCACCCTATTAAAGACAACAGTATTTAATGATAGCGTAGTTTGGGGGATTCTCCAGTAAAATAACAGCAAAAGAAGATCAACATTGTACATTACCCCACTATAGTCTGCAGCGTTACAAGAACAAAGAGGACGTGTCTTATGAGTTTGGGAGTAGCCTTCCATTATACATTTTATCAAGCAGCTTCCTTGCATCGGGCCTCCTTAGGAGACCTTTATTGTTTGGCAAGCCAGTTCCCAAACAAACAGGACAGACGAGTTTTCCTCGACCTATTCACAAGACAAAATAATGACCACTTGCTAAAGAAAAATTGCATATGATAACTAGTTCGAACAAAAACAAGTACCCAAAAAAAGTGTGAAAATTGAAAAAGAACCACAAGAGGAATAAACGTTAAATAAGAATAATATTAAAAAACTCACGCGCATTTACGACAAATGAACTGCATGACTTAATGTTTAAAAGAAAGTGACAGTGCATAAGAGAAAAGAAAATATATTTTAACGATAATTGTTGTTTTTTTTTGGGGGGGGGGGGTTGGGGGCGTGTACATTCCATGCTCAACCACTGTCACAACATATCAACTTAAAAACTACATTCGTTATCAATAGATGTTACATTAGAGGAGTCAAGTACAAAACTGCAAGTTCATACCGTAACAATTTGGACATTCTGTAAACTCATAAACATCTTTCGCTCTCTTCCTGTTTAGAGCTTTCCATTTTCCTGTACCACCACACATATCACCTAAATGAAAAGCAAATATCTCATGGACCAGAAAATGTAAACAAGAAGAGGTATTTATTCTTTTCCTAAAATAGATAGAAGATCAGTCAATCACATTCACTGGGTTCAAGTTGATAAAATGCATGCATATAGTGCCATGACTAAGGTATCTATCTAATGGTTAAAAACAATATACATGAATCTTGGTTTACTTTGTTGTAACATGAGATAGTATATTTACAATTCAGTGAACTTTCAGGCTTCTTCTCACAAGAGCCTGAGTTAATATAAATACTCAAAACCTATAAAGTTAAGACATGCTGTTATGAATATCATGCTCCACATGTAAATCGTGTCATTATTCACACTGTGAAATGAGGAAGGGAGAGTAAGCAGAACAGCACTTTCATCTTTACTCACATATCACAGCACCAGTTCCCCCACAATTCCTACAAACAGGTCTTTCCTTGCCATCCAAAGCAATTGCATTTGTTGCAGAAGTAGATCTTCCAAAATCACTTATCAAAGGTACAGTTGAACACAAACAAGTAAGACAATGTCGCCTGGAGATTGTTACTTGAATTTCCTGCAACATGGATCATTTTATATTAACGACTTAACGCTAATGAGTTTTAAGCCCTTTTCAGTCAATCATGAAATTGATTATGAGATTCTTAAGCATGTTTGCCATAATTTACCAATCACCACGTTCTGATCTAACTGCAGTAAGAGCATACACCTTCCAAAATCAGTGGGTACTTTCCAACAATTATTAACCCACCCAAAACCAGTACTGGAACTGAAGAACACACATAATGGGACCAACAGTCTTCCCATGTTCCCCAAAAGGTCAGGGTACAAGATGGAGATAAGTCACCCAGCTATTTCCACATTGTGTAACCTTTGATGTTATGTTGTGTAATAATAATATCGTAAATGATGTAGCGACAGGTTATAAAAGTTAGTTAAGAGAGGGGAATATTAGAAAATTGCCGTCAGGATTATTGCCTATAATAGACGTACCTGCCTACTTATGTTTTCAGATTATGCTGTGAATAATACAGTTGCGTTACCCAGTCTCTGTTCCTCTGTTTCTCTCGATTTTCTCTCTTCTCTCTTGATTCCCTTGATTCCTCTCTTTTTTATCTTTTTCTCTCTGCTGCCCGAGTTATAAACCTACACCACGCTATCATATGCGTTCCATTCTTCTTCCCATTTAGATAAGGGTATTAGAGAAAATGGATGAGATCTAACAAGAAAATAGCTTCCAGCACTGAAAATACTTATTTTACCTGTTGATCGTACAGAATAGCTTCTTTTTTTTTTGGGGGGGGGGGGGGAGGAGCAGTAATTAAGTCTTGGAACTCAGTCAAACAAAAGACTAAAGGTACACACCAAGAATTTTTATAAACATGAGCAGCACTATTAAATAATCAACAATAGCTATAAAGCCACACAAACATTCAACAATTTGACAGAATCAGCCAATGCCCAGTGTGTGATGCATTAAAAAACATGGCAATGCATGATCTTTCACCTTGGATGGTTTTGATGACTCTTTTCTGTCGCCTGAAATCGAGTTCTCAGTTTCGTGACTCGCTTTAACGTGCATCTTTCCTGAGAAGATAACTACCAATCATAAAATAACCATAGAAGAAATCTATAGTTCGCATTGGGTGACAGTTATATATAGCAATGAATCCCACATCCGTAAAATCATGTAGAACAATCTAAATAAAGCCGCTTTCTCCAACCCACGACCGAGAACAAAAACAAAAAACACAAGATCCAGCATTATAAAAACATAACCAAGTGAATTTACTCGCGAAAAGAAGCAGTGTCTGTGCTATTTCTGGTGTCACGTTGAGGCAGGGAATAAACCCAATAGAACCAAAATTTCATCTTGAGCAATGAAATTGAAGCAATCATCGAAAGAAAGACAGGAGGAGACAGAGAAATAGAAAGTGGAAACTCACGTTGGTTTGGAAAGAATTGAGGAGTTGAAGAAAGGCAAGAAGATAAAGACGAGAGTGTAGTAGAGTTCATCGTCTCTCCTCTCCCTCTCGCAGCGTCTCGGCGAGTCGATTGCGCGCGTAGTCTGCTGAAGAGAGTGAAACAGACAGATAGGGGTTGGGACTGAGGCGCAATATCTACCGTGTTTTCCTTCAGAACCAGAAGGCCACGTCCCCGTCCACGTCTTCCATGTAACCAATAAAATCATATCTTCTTTGCCAAGTCTGCTGTGTGCGCAATATATATGGGATATGTATAAATTTTTCATTTACTCCTTATAATTTTTTGGCAAAAAACAATAATACGTCCGGTCCTTAGTATAAAGTCCTGTTTGACTTTTATTTTGGTTCTAAATATAAGATCCTAATCCACTTTGTCTCTCATATTTACTTAACTTTTTTCCAAGACAGTTCTTCTAACAATAATAACTCTAGCTAATACACTCGATTAGTAAGGATATTTTAGGAAAGATAATACTTATTTATTACAAATAACTAACTGAATTTCGTTCTTTAATCTCCTCAAATTAGTCAACTGACTCTTATAAATAGGACCAGAGGTAGCATATTAAATTATACTACCTCCGGTCATAATTAGAAGAGCCAGTTGACTAATTTGAAAAGATTAAGGAAGTAAGTTGAGTTAGTTATTTGTCCTAAATAGATGTTGTATTTCCTAAAATATCCTTGCTAACCAAGTGTATTGACTAGAACTGTTATTGTTAGAAGCGCCACTTTGGAAAAAAATATATAAATATGAGAAACAAAATGAATTGGGGTTTTATATTTAGGATCAAAATAAAAGTCAAATAAGATCTTATATTAAGAACCGGAGGTAGTATTTATTAATATTTTATTGTACAGAATAGTTAATCTTATTTTATTATCTATGCTATGAAAAATTCAGTTTTCACATAAACATCTCTTGGTCGAAAATTACTCCATTCTGCCGTGCCTATTAGAATGATTTTGAGGGAACATCATTTAAATGTACTGATTTGTTGTGTCTTTGGATGTCACGCTATTGAGACGGTTGACAATCGCTTCTGCTGTTGCCCTTATATTAAGCCATTCTCTATTTTTCGCTCTCCTGAGACTCTTACAACAACTCCAGTTGTATAACTCATTTTAATTTTATATTACTGATCATTTTATCCCAAAAAAAAAAATACATATATATATGCTTTTAGTGTTTTAACATAAAATAAAACTCATAGAAAGTCATTATAATCTGTGCAACTCATTTGTTAACTTTCAGATATACAAAGAGACTTGCCTTGTTATAAATTAGTTATACGATAGAATTTAATAAAATACTAACAGGAATTTAAAATTACGAAATAAATTATAAATTATAAACTTCAAATTAAGATTAGATTGTGTCACCCTCACATTCCGAAGTCAACCATAAAGCCCCCTCTAACCCATCATCCTTCCAGATGCAAAAGAGTGCCCACCATTTTCATCCTCTGGTATTTCTAAAGGGCAAGTTTCTCTTTTTTACGTTGAGATTGGAGTGGCACAAACTCTAATATTCTCTCCGAAAGCCATGAGGTTTTTCATTCTTGGTTACAGGGTAAGACTTAAAGCCACCCTCGTTTCGTTATGGTTCTTGGCTCTGAAATCGTGCTCTATCACAACTGCTTACCAAATTTAGCAGGACAAACAACGGCAGGTCCCGTGTGCTGAGGGAACATGTACAACGTAATGTACGGGTAGATTAATTCTGCCATGGGGATCCAATACACTCAAGAAAGTTCAAGCAATCAATGCAAGCAGGGTATTCTCAACCACAAAAAAAGTTTTCCATTTGTCCCGGGAAGTGAGGATAAATCGTACATCCAAACAGCTTATATATATATATATATATATATATATATATATTCTGAGCTGAAATGTAAATCAGCCACCAAGAGCCGTGATTGAGCATGACCACTGAATTTAACCACAGCACAACATAAAACTCATTAAGCCAAGAGTTGTTACAGATTCTTCATTATTAACTCTCTCCTTTTGATCTAATTTTGCTCCCACTAGGAATCATACAACACCACAACCTAATATTTCCTTATTGCAGCAAAAGAGACTGTTCTCGTGATATCTCTCTCCTCTTCTAGACCAGTAGGAGTCAAATCCACAACTTCAACGGAAGAATTATCACAACTTACAACAGTTCCTTGGCTGCAGCAATTACGGCTTCCTTGGTGAGGCCAAACTCCTTGTAAAGTTTTCCCGCTGGAGCACTTGCTCCGAATCGATCAATCCCGATTGCTTTTCCCTTGGTTCCGAGAATTTTGTGCCATCCAAATGTTGATCCTGCCTCAATGCTAACTCGTGCAGATACTGAAGCTGGGAGAACACTCTCCTTGTAAGCATCTGACTGCTGCTCATAAAGTTCCCAGCAAACAAGAGAAACAACTCTCACTGCTTTCCCCTCGCTCCTCAAATCATCAGCAGCTTTGGCAGCAATTTCCAACTCGGAACCAGTTCCGATCAAAATGACATCGGGCTTGTTACCTGATGAGTTATCGGAAATGATGTAGCCACCCTTCTCAACTCCTTCAATAGATGTTCCTGCAAGTTGGGGAAGCTTTTGCCGAGAAAGGGCAAGAACTGAGGGTGTTTTCTTGTTGAGTACGGCAACTTTGTATGCACCAGCAGTTTCATTTCCGTCAGCTGGACGGAACATAAAAATATTTGGCATTGCCCGGAAGCTTGCCAAGTGCTCTATCGGCTGATGGGTTGGCCCATCCTCCCCGAGTCCAATTGAATCATGGGTCATAATATAAATAACACCAGCTTCGCACAGGGCAGAAATTCTCATCGGAGCTCTCATATAGTCAGTGAAGACAAAGAAAGTAGCACAATATGGGATCAGCCCAGGGCTATGAAGTGCAATGCCATTGCAAATTGCTCCCATCCCATGCTCACGGACACCAAATCTAATATTGCGTTCTTCAGGAGTATTCTTTTGAAAATCTCCAAACATTTTCAGCAAGGTCATGTTAGAAGAGGCAAGATCTGCGCTGCCACCAAGCAGACCAGGAAGAACCTTTGCAAGGGCATTCAGGTTCTGCTGGGACAGATTTCTGGTAGCATCAGCAGGACTCTCAGGAGTGTACGTCTGAAATTTGAAATCAAATCAGAAGCTTGATCAATATTCCAGAAACAGGTTTTGTATAGTTTAAAAGTTTCATGATGAAGATGAAAATATGCAAGCTATCTAACATAAAATTACAACACTCCTTGTGTGCAGATTAATCAAATTTTAGATGGTACAAGAAATTTGAATATTCACTCACAGGAAGTGCTTTCTCCCAACCAGCAGGTAATTCACCAGTAATAATAGACTTCAACTCTGCAGCTTCCTCCTTGTATTTCTTCTCATATTCAGCAAACTTAGCATTCCACTCAGCTTCAAGTGCAGCACCATCGGGAATGTGGCGGCTCCAATGGCTGCGAATGGGAAAGTCTCATTCAGGATCATATAAATCTTAACAGACTAATTGAAAACAATTGGTGCACATGGTTACAAAACACACGCATGTGCATAAATATATATTTTGGCAAATGTGTCAACTCATAATCAAACATAAATTATTAAGCATCTCATAAGCTGAACTTTGTCCAAAGAAAGACAGAACAGGCATCATCCTATCATCTTCAAATCTTCAAAGTTGGCCACATGAATAGATGTTATGCTATGCCATCCAAATTATTCATAGCCACTATTAGTAAAAGCTTCTGTTGTCTCCTTAAGATGGTGTTTAGCTTATCATTCTATCTTGTGGGAGGGGCAGTGTTGTTTTCCCTATAATTTGGCTCAGCTGTGTCCTATTTGTGTAAAAGACACAAGTTAATCCCCCTTTTTTCAAAATTTGGACATGTATCAGCATTGTGCAGGCAGAGTCTAACGTATGTAGATATCCAGCACATATCATACAAAGTTATACACTGAAACACTATAAAATATGCATATCAGTGCTCTATAGGCCAACAGAGAAACCTCAAATCCCATCATCCATACCGCTTAACATCTTCAGGCACATGGAAAGGCTCATAAGGCCACCCAAGATTCTTCCTTGTAGCATCCACTTCTTTGGCACCCAATGCACTGCCGTGCACACTGTAGCTGTTAGCCTTGTTAGGAGAACCATACCCAATGGTAGTGGTCACCTGTGGAAAAGAATCGTTCAGAAAAACAGCTCCATCAAAGCAGAATAAAAGTGAAAATGTTCAGTTTCACATCAATTACTATCAGTAAATTCCAAATCTGTGGGCCCATTGAATACATATGTGTGTGTGTAGATGATCAATACAGAAAAAATTAAAAGTGAAAAAAAAAAATCTCCTTATATGGCGTGACAAAATTCAAGTCTGCATAGAATAAGATACTCAAGTCATTTTACTCAAATCAAGTAACTTGGGAGGATTAATTTGAAAGAACATATCAATTTTCAAGAGTAAAACATTAAGGGTTCTTTAGGCTTTTTCCCTCCTTCTTGCTTCTAAAAATCTGTTTGCTTCAATATGGCTTCCAAGGAACTAACCTTAATTAAAGTGGGCTTGTCTTTGACAGCTTTGGCTTCCTTAATGGCAGCACGGATATCATCATAGCCAGTATTTCCATTCTTTACCCAAATAACATGCCATCCAAGTGCTTCAAAACGCTTATCAACATTCTCAGTAAATGCAATCTCAGTGTCACCATCAATGGAAATGTGGTTGTCATCATAGAGTGCAATGAGCTTTCCAAGGCCCCAGTGCCCAGCAAGTGAGCAAACTTCATTTGAAATTCCCTCCATTTGACAACCGTCACCCAGAATCACATACCTGTGGAAATCAAATGTAATTGGTAAAATGCCGAACAAAGAAGGCATTACACTTTCAATGATCATAATAAAATTGGTGACTTAGAGCCGTCGGGGGAAAAGATGTGGGCATCTTACGTGTAATGGTCAACAATCTCATTATCAGGTTTGTTGTATCGGGCTGCCAAGTGCTTCTCTGCAAGGGCCAATCCCACAGCATTTGCAATGCCCTGGCCAAGAGGACCTAAAGAAAATAAAGCAATAAATGAGAGAACAGAACAAACAAAGGAATGCAAGATTTTTTTTTTTTTTTTTGGGTGAATAGAATGCAAGAAAATATTAATAATTCATATAAACAAGGGAGATATCCGACCTGTTGTTACTTCAACTCCAGGTGTCTCAAAGTTCTCCGGGTGGCCAGGAGTTCTGCTTCCCCACTGGCGAAATTCCTTCAAGTCTTGTTCCTGGATTTGATGTGAACACCATGAATTTAGTTTGATGAATATGCTATGGTTTATGTGCTCACAATTACAGCTTCATCAATGATCCCGTGAACTCTGCTCGGGTGTGTATTGTGTGACCAATAACAGACTAAAACAAAACGTCTTCAACAAAAACTATGAAACCATTTAACAAATTAATGTAAATGAACTTGCCGAAATGCAGAGTAAACAACATGCATGCACGCAACTTAAAACAGTTTATTATTGATTATTCCAATCCTATATCCATCTAATTCCCGGAAGCCATTTCCTCATCAGGTAGGTCAAGTTAAATACACGTAGATTTTCAACTCAACTGCATTTAAATTAAACAAAAACATCATAGATCCCAGTCCAAACCAGTTCCACCAAACACGCACGCACAAGGGGAAAGAAGCTCACCCTAACGCTATCATATCCAGCGAGGTGGAGCAAAGCATACTGGAGCATGCAGCCATGGCCAGCAGACAAAATAAACCGGTCACGGTTGAACCAGTACGGGTTCTTCGGGTTATACCTCATCAACTCATCGTAGAGAATGTGACCCATCGGAGCACAACCCATGGGTAGACCCGGGTGGCCCGAGTTGGCCTTCTCGACGGCATCAATGGACAGGAACCGAATAGTATTAATAGATTTCTCAACCAACGCTTCAGTGGTCTTATCCAAGGTCTCAACAGCCGTAGCTCGAACTACACTGCCGGACCCAACACCACGACGACGCGAAACTGAAGCCGGCTTGGAGGAAGAAGAACTGGAAGAATGTGACTTGAGGCCAGAGAAGGAAGGCAAGGAGACGCCGGAAAGAGAGATGCGGTCAGAAGAAGAGTTGAAGGCGTGAAGGGAAATGGCTCGGGCCAAGAGGGCTTGAGACAGGTGCAAGGAAGAAGAGGAAGCCATGGATGGAAGTTTGGTTTGAGGGAGGCCCGAGAGAGAAACAAAGAAGAAATGGGGGTGGCACAAAATCGGAGCTTTCCGGTGAGGAAAGTATATGGAGAACCAAAAAGGTTTGACTCACAGTCCCAAAAGAGGCGGGTGGAGGAGTGAACTGATCTTTAGATTAAAGCAACGAACAATCTCCACCTATGCTTATGGGTAGGTGCTTCTCCACCTCTCAATCTTTTTCCTTCATGTTAGCTGATAACAAACCAGAAGATATTTAATTTCTAATTTTTATTTTTATTCTAAATAATTGTGGCCCTTTTTATTTGTTCAGATCAAGGAAAAACTGTGGCCTTTCGTATGTATTTATATTGGCGTTGGACTGTTGGTGGAGTAAGCACTCTCCTAATGCTGATATCATATCATTAAAATTCAATTCTTTACTGCTATCTTTATTAATCCTCTGAATGTTTGGTAAAATTTTTAATATGATATCTATTTATAATATTTTATTTTAAAATTTTAAACTAAAACATGGTATAAAAAATTTACAATACTTGCCTCAAGTTTCTTATACCTATTATGTTAAGCTTTTCAATCGCATATGGTCCTATTTTTAAAATAATATCATTTAATTATAAATTCATGCCTAATTTTGAAATAACATCATTTAATTATAAATTTACATAAAAAAAGGGGGACACGTGCCTATATAAATAATTTGATCTAAGTATTTTTCATAAAAATTAAAAATATTTCTTTTATAGATAAATATGTTTTCTTGTCATGTCACGCGAGTGAGATTTTTTTCCCTATATATGAGAGAATGAATATACTAGTGTTTATCCTGTTGTTTGAGATAAGGTGGTCAGAAACTGGTTGCCACCAAAGCACCACAAAATCATCCGCCTTGAAGTCTGAGTGGCGCCCGTATTTTGTGAAGATCCCATCAAAATTAACGAAATCCCATTTTATCCTTTTCCTGAAAAATTGTCATTTTCAAGTCTGCAACGGCATCATCCTTAGCAAATCAAGTAAAATTCATGCGCGTGCTATAAGTTTTTTGTCCTCGCATTATTTTTCAACTTTACAAGTGATGAGATTTGTCAATTTGTTGCCAAAAACAACCCCCCCAAACCCGGGGAGAGATAGTTAATTGTGTATACTGAGAAAGTGAAATTAATTTTAATTCCACCTAATGACATAAGATTTAATGTTATTGAAAAATTGGTTAATTTTAGCAATAAACATAACATGAACTCTTAAAATACTTATGTAATATTGGATTATACAAGTTACATCAGTTTATAAGTTAAGTAAATCAGTTTAAAAAATAATAAATATGAATGATAATATAAATTTAAGTCTTATATTTAAAACTAGTTCTCACATTTAATTAGTTTCATACCCTTCAATTTCTTATTATAAGATCCAAATAACTAAATTGTGCTACTTAAGAAAGTGATAAGATGCTTAAATATCCTAAAAGTATTCACAAAGAAATGCCCAGTACCTAGAATTTTGTTAACTCTTATATATTCTGAAATTTTATTTTTGTACCAAAAATACGTTCGCCATTGTCTACCATTAAGTTTGACCGTTAAATACTGGTGTCTCTAACTATCAAACTTGACTGCGAATAGCGGTTTATGGTAAAAATGCTATGAAATAAAACTTTTAACACATACAAAAGCAAAAAAAAAAAATACAGATGTTGGATGCTTTTTTGTAAATACTTTTAGGATATTTAATCACTTTATCCCTTAAAAATAAACTACTACCTCACATCCTCAATATACAAACTAGTTGAATATTAGATTTGATCCTAAATATATAATCTCAATGCCCTTTATCTTCCAAATTTATAACTTTTTTTTTAAATATCCATATTCATTGTAAAGGGTTCTCACTAAAGGATAGCTCCAATGCATATGATTAGATATGCTGGTTTAAGAAAGTCAATACATATTTATTACAATTAACCAATTTAACTAATTTTTTTATCTTTTCAGATTAGTTATCTAAGTTTTATACTCTTCTGGTCCTAAATATAAAACCTCTTTTGTAGTGTAATTAATATAAGACCCCTTTCATAGTGTAAATTACATTACGAAAAGAGTCTTATATTTAGAACTGAAGGAGTATTAAAGACTGAGAGTTGTATTAAAATTAACTAAAAGTAATAAATATGTAAAAAAAATATTTTCCCACGAACAAATTCAAAAATGTAGATCTTGTAATAAGAAACAGAATAATTGTTAGACATCAGAAGGAGTAACTACTCCCTCCGTTCCTTATTATAAGAGACATTTGATCCTTATAATATATTCCTATATATAAGAGACACTTAAAAGTTGTCTTTATTTTTTTGTGTTGATTTCCTATTTTACCCATATTCATTGTCTCCAACTCACACTCTCCCTCCCTCCCACTTCTCTTTCTTTTAATAATTTAATTGTTTTCTCTCATGCTTCTCCCCTTATTAATGAGGGCATTTTTGAAAAAAAGATTATATTTTTTACACATTAATTATTCTTAACTAATTTTAAGTGTTTTTTTTATTAACATAATTCAGTTATTCGTCTTTTATAATAAAAAACGATGGAGTATTATTAACTAACATGACATTAATAATGAATACACGTCATTACTGACAGGTTGGCTGAACTCAGTTGCTGCAGAACCCTCCCCTTGTTCAAATCATTCTGTAATCATTTAACCAAGGTATCCCGCTGCTTTTCACTAATTACCATCATCTCCATAATTATCATCTTGCTTTCCATGTTTTTACCAACTTTATTTTTAATTTTTTTGGTGAAATGTTTCTCTTTTTTTAATCATAGAAAACGAAATAAACATAAAATCACAAAAAGAAAAATTACAAACCACAATTGGCAAATAGAAGAGCCTAGGATTTGGCTTTGATAATATTGTTTTATGACATGCTACAGACCTTTGCTTCTTAATACCGAAGTTAGTGGGTACTTAGATGGCATGGAAAGTGCTTTTGAAAAGTAATTTTTTATAAATTGAGATAAACTTCTTCGCACATTTACTTTGTATATCATAAAATTATTTCTAAAATCATAGTTTGGTTTCTATCCAAATACTCTCTTAAACTATGAACTAGATCCTATATTGAGTATTACACATAGTACTAAAAAACCACAAACATAATATTACCTTTAATCCTTGATCTAATATCAATTTGACTAATTTGAAAACATTAAGAAAGCTAAATAAATACTTAATTATATCATGGGTCACATGATCTCTCTAAATGGTTTGAAGAAAAAATGATAAATATAAATACTTTAAAGTAATACCTCTTATCTTTAATATAAGTACTATAATTGGGGTGAGTTTTAGTCTTAAACATAATGCTTCAATTTACTCTGCCTCTAATTTTTTTCAAAATATTTCTATTGATTGTAAAAAGTTATCACCAAGTGGTATTCTAATATACATGATTAAACATGATAGTTAATAGAGATCAACATACATTTGTGACAAATAACTAACTCATCTATTTTTTTAAATATCTTTAAATTAATTATCTAGTTTTTATACTAAGAATAAATAATAATAATTTATTTAACTTTTTTTTAAACATTGGTTAATTAGGTGTCATATTATGGGGCAAAATTATGATTCTATAATTTCAACAAACGAGGACCCCTTAGTGTCGAGTAGGGCTGCACATGGACAGGGCGGGACCCTTGCCCGATGCCCAGCCCGAAGAATGAACGGGCTGGAAAATGCAGCCCGTTGCCCAACCCTACCCATGAAAAGCCCTAATAAATTTGGGCTAGGCAGGGCGGGCTTTTATGCCTAACAAGTCAATATACTATATTAATTAACTAATTATTTATATCCTTCTAAATAATCTAATGTAACTTTATTAAAATGGAAACTTGGCCTTAATTTTGTTATTACTAATTAATATACTATGAAACTACTTTTTGTAGTAGCTAAGAGGAGTGGACTATGACAAAAAATGTTGTTAATATATTTTATTAAACTTAATTATTTTTCTAGTTTTTAACTCTCAAAATCATTCAAAAATAAATAAGTATAATGAATACTGAATATTGATACAATAATGCGTTTGATTTAGGAAATAAATATGAGGCAAATAAATTATATATAAATAAAATTATATATATTTTTGCGGGCAGGGCAACATACCATGCCCGATGCCCAGCCCTGCCCAACAGTTTGTCCAGTCCGAACATGCCCAATAGTTCTTTCGGGTCATGTTTTTTAGGACGGGCTAGGCATTTTTTTGCGGGCTTGGGCGGGCATAGCGGGCTACTGAGCTTCATGAACACCCCAGTGTCGAGTTAGCCGGATCTCCTGTAGCTACAAAAAGCTTTTGGACGCCGTGAAGGGGCGGTAACCTCAATGCGGAGTCGGAAAACCCATTCTGATTGAAAGGACCCAGATTATTTTGCCTTTTAATTTTTAATAGTTGCCGTTTAAAAACCGCATAATTATTATTTTCAATAAACCTAGGGGTCACTTGCCTTCCCATGTATCGTGTTACGTACTTTGACTTCCTTCCAATGTCAGAATAATTGCCTAATTTTAGGCCTATTTCTCTTTGGACTGTAATGTTAGGCCTGTCTAGTACTCCTATATAAAATTGATTCAATTTCAATTACATGATAAAATAAAAATTAATTGATATTAAATAGTAATAATTGCCTAATTTTAGGCCTATTTTTTTATTGCAATTGTCAAATAGACTTTTGAATCAACTACAATTTGTCGCATTTGCTAAATACTGTTTTTTCTAACTCAATATTTTCCCAGAAAACATTCCAATTAAATTTATATTTAAAAAATAATATTTATTCCTACCTGACCTAAGTATTATGCTCAATTTAAATGAGCATATTAAATGTTACATTGAAAATCAATACATAAAAACGACGCAGATATAAAAATTTTAAATGTTATATAAAAGTTGAAGAATGAGTCCTATTGGTCCTAGTTTGTCAACAAATTAGACACAACGTTTATTCTGAATGAGTTTTTTTTTTTATACAAGAATGAGTGCTTTTATTGAGAAAAAAAACGAAAAAAAAACCTTAAAGCAAAATTTTGGTCCCCCACCTCACCTCTGACGTCAACCAGATCATCAAGACGGCCGACCAAGGGCAGCCCAAATCCAG